TCTCTAGTTCCATCAACCAAAACTCATTCTCGTATCTGTCTCTTCATGCTCCAAAAACTTTTATTTTTCTTGTTTATTTCCCAGCACTTTAACTCTTGTGAACTCTGTCCCATCTTTATGTTTTCCTGACTCATACAACTGTTAACCGTTTAAGTTTTCTGTCAACCAAAAAATTCTAATTAATGCACACAATTTAGTTTATTTATTATTTAATTATTATAATAATGCTCAATAAAAATATTAAAATGTCATCGGTTGGAAAATCGGTAAAAGAGGCCGATGCCAATTCCGATTGTTCAAAAAGTGGCAGATTAAGCTGATGCCAATGATGATTAATCGGTACATCACTAATTAAAACATTTATTATCAAATGTGATATGGTACAGCAGGCCTTGTTTTAAAGCGTTACGCCTAGAGAGATTTACGTACGCCTTAAGCGCTTTTTACGTACGCGTAGAGCTGTTTTGGTTAAGCTACTTTTTATAATTTTTTAACTTTTAAATTAGCGGTAACATAAAAGAAGTAATTAATTTTCAAAAAAACCACATTAACTTTTAAATAACGATATGTAAAGGTATTTATTAAAAAAAAGAATTTACTTTAAAATTAATTGTTGTAACTTTTCATCGTGATATATCTTTCCTTTTTATAGCAATTAATTTGACGCTAAACTTTTTATCCAAATATTTAGCAACATGAAAAATTGTTTGTCAATCCTTAACTACAAATTTTTTGCAATGTTTTTAATAAAAAGTAGTAAAGTTTTTAGTAAAAAACTTTAAAAAAATCTATATTCCATATTTATTAATACAGAATATAAAAGTTTTTTGTAATATAGATTTTTTATGAATTTTTTACTGAATTTATAATAAAAAACATTTGCAAAAAAATTTGTAATTAAGAATTGACATTTTTTTAAATAAAATCTCAAAAAGTGTCTTAATATTTTTGTTATCATGATAACAAAAATATCAAGACATTTTTTCGAGATGTTAAAAAAAATGTCTTTGCTTTTCTTATTAGTTTAATAGTATATAGCTTATAGTTAGTTTAATAGTATATAGCTTTTCTTATTAGTTTATTAGTATATAGTTTAAGTTATGCGGGGGGAGGGAGTCGGCACAGAAAAAAAAATTACCTGTTACTCGCAATATTTGGATGAAGACAATTTGTTAAAATTCTTCTGCGTGCGATTCAATAAGTTTTTTTTGTCATAAATCAAGTAATAATATAAGGTAAAGAAATCATGAGTAGACTACAGCATCCGCTGATGACACTAATATTACGTTGAATATATTTATATAACGGAGGTTTTATTATGCACGCGCACATTACAGGTTCCGTTAAATAAATACTAAAGCACGTTTTAGTTTAATGACAGTCTCCATTTTTTACTAATGAATATGTATTTTTCTTTATAAAACAAAACAAACTAGTATATAAAAACCTTGTATATTTCTATTATCTCTAAATTATTTAAAGTTCGAATATGGATTGTATTTTGAAGGACAAAAGATTTACTTTAAAAACTTTTAAATTTTGGGACTTTGCCGATGCGATGATCACAGAAAAAGAGAAGACTTACTTTATTAAAATCAAATGTAAGTTATGTGATCTTCATCAAAATAAAATATTATCCAAAAACAATAGAGCCGTAAGGGCAACTGCCCAACGGTTTATAAATAATACAAGTCATGTTAAAATATTTTAACATGTTACTATATTTTAATTAAGTTAATATATAATTAAAAATAAAAATATAGTTCAATAAATAAATTAAATTTATTCTTAACAAAGATTACCTCATATTTATTCTTTTTTTTATTTTATTAAGTTAAATTGCTTACAAACGAAAAAAAAAAAAGAGTTTTGTAATAATACGTAGAATGAAAATACTTTTGAGTTTGTTTATAAGTTAAGGAACTTAATTTTTAATAAACAAATTTTTACGAACGTTTATTATAAACAGATACGATTCAAATTATTAAATATACTTAAATTATTTCAGTTGAGTATTTTTATAAGTTTGCACGATTAAAGTTTGGCGTACAAGTATTTGTTTTTTTGTTTTAAGAATAATTAATAAAAGAGTTTGCATAATTAAGACTTTTATATTTAATTTAATTTTTTTTTTAATTTCCTAAAATTAAAAAAAAAAGATTAAATCGTTGAAAACGATTTTTCTCTTCAGCTCTGTTTCTTTGTGATTTGTTAAAAAAGTTAAATATTTTTACAATAACATAAAAAGTTTATGAATTAAATTCCTAGCGAACGCGTTCTAAACTACGTATCAAAAATACGCTTCAAAGCAGACAAAACTTTTTTATATTTTTATAAAACGCAAGTTGAAACGCTTTTAAAAATTTAAAAAATATTTAAAAACTTAAATTTTTCTTTGCTAGTCAAAACAAAATCGTTGTTTAAATAATTAACATGGGTTTGTGTTTATCAATGTTAATATTTTTTGTTTACTCTAGAAATTTTTAAAAATAAAAAAAATCATTATTATTTTTTATTCAATAACGATTAAAAACAATTATTCAAAAACAAATTTCAGAAATAATTAATATATATATATATATATATTTTTCACTAAATAATATTGAACTAAAATTAATAATAAAATAACAATTGAAAACATTACAAAATTTTCATAATAAATTTATATTTAAAACGTTTATAGTTTATATTTGAGTTAATTGTTAAATTGAATTAGTTTGCGGTTATTTATTTATTGCGGTAGTTAAAACACTTAACGCCTATAAAAAAAAATAAAGATAATTTTATGACGTCAAAATCGCGTTAAGCTAATGCATTAAGCACTTTTTTATTTAAAACAAGGCCTGGTACAGTTGGTACTGTTCCATAAGTAAATTTTACTATAAAGACAGTCATTTCAGCATAAGCTGAAATGTGTTAAAAGTCAGTTATTTGAAACAGCATCAATTACAGCCTTTTTTGTTGTTTGAGTTGGTACAGCCTTGCAATTTGCTTGAACAACTTGCAGCAGAATTTTTTTTTCTTTCTTGTCATTGGTTATGGCCTTGTTGAATTCTTCAAACAGTTTGGCGTCTTGTTCAGCTGTGTCATTAACAACTTGCAGTTGAAAAATGCACTCTTTTTCTTCTAAATAGCCCTGGTTCTTGTGTCATATTTCAGGTTGATTACTGAGAAAAGAGGCTCTCATGTCTAAGTTGTTCAGAATCATTGATGTTCTTGCACTTCCAAATTCTCTGAGGCTTGAATTGTTGCTAGGAAAGATTTTCATTGCTTGGAATGATATCATTGCACTTGCTGCAATTCTGTCAGAAAAGAGAGCCTGGCCCACAGTTTTGTCTGCAAGATTCCACAAGTGATTTTCAAACACTTTTCTTGCTGCTAAATTGCACAATTGATGGCTTGGTATTTTCTGAGATGTTTTCAGAATGCAAGATCATTACCTGGCGCATCAGCTGCAAGTGATGCTGCTGTCCATAATTTTGTATACAGAAGGACTCCGGACTGCACAAACCAAAACATCTGGTTTTCCTCCTTATTTGTAAGGTTGAAGACATCTTGTTGGCCACGGGAGAGAAAGATTTTTATGCTGTATAAATGCTTTGCCATCCAACGTGCATGGTGAATAAGTCCTGCAGTTTATCGGCAGTGTCACTGGATACCAGCACTGGCAAGCAATCAACTTGTCCAATACATAATTTGTCAGGGAGAATTTTTCCGTCCCAATCCAACACCAAAGGATAATCTGACACTAAACTGTCCATTGCAGATTTAGCATGTTGTTTTCTGGCTTTTGTATAGATATGTTCATGTGTATGTATGTATGTATGTATGTATGTATGTATGTATGTATGTATGTATGTATGTATGTATGTATGTATGTATGTATGTATGTATGTATGTATGTATGTATGTATGCATGTATGTATGTATGTATGTATGTATGTATGTATGTATGTATATATGAGGGATATGCGTTTATTTTTTATGTTGTGAGTGCGTGTATTTACACACATATATACAGCTATACCATGCGCATCCCTCACCACCCTCACGAGATCTCTAAGAATGTTGGAGCTGTTTTTAAAAAACTGGTATAGGGATTTGGTTTTTGTAGTGTAGTCCTATTATATTGCAATATTGACTAGCATGACATAGAGTGCAGGCGGTGAGATCTGGTGCTAGGACACGCCCCTGACGAGTGGCGTTAGTTCAGGTCTTGGGCTCTCCAAAACGTCATTGGTGATCGCAGTGCATTCCTGAGGAGGGGGATCACCATTTATCCACTACTTAATTCTAATTGGTTATTATGGCACCAACATTTTTTTACCTCTTAAACCCATGTATTTTTGCTCTTTGTGAGCTTTTTATTATGTATTTGTTACATTAACGACATTTATATATTTTTATGTTACACAGGTGATTATCAGTTCTCAATTTTTTATCTAGAGTTTAGAACATATACAGTACCACATTTATTAGACATTTATATGGTGCGATTATTTTAGCTATGAATACCATTATAAACCAGCGGATTTTTATTGACTTGTTTACTCATAGATCATTGTTTCATCATTTGCTAAAAAATGACTAGAGTGTGAGTTTTTATTCCTTTTTTCCTGAGTTGCTAACTTTTACTCCTCCTACTAAATAGTCTTTGCATTAATTTATGTTTTTTTACCCAAATGACATCATCTTCAATCTGTTTTTATTTTCACATCTCCCAAGTCTACATAACTGGATGGCTCCGTTGGTCACTTTTTGCGATCGTTGTGTTGCATAAACATAAAAAAGGCCTCTGTGCGGAGAAACAATTTGAGCGCAGTACTAGTGTTAGGCATCAGACTCAGAACTTCTTGCTTATGATGCAAGCCCTCTACCACTAAACCACTACCGCATATAAGTATGTATTATAATACATACTTATATGCGTATATATATAGCGCATTACAAGTATGTAGACAAGATGAAAATAAACTTTTTTCTCAAAATTTGATTTCTAGGTTTAGGTAATGTGGAATAGTGCCACTGGACAGAAATGCAGTTCTTTCTTGTATACTAAATGCTCCATTTTCTTGAGAACTCTCTAACAAATGTAAAAAAGATATATCCGATTTTTTAGTTAATGTGATTGATTCTATAAGGTTTGGCAAAGATTTAGAATCAAGTGGTAGACCTAAACGTTCCAAACTCAAAGTTGAACCAGGTAAAAGTATGTCATATAAAGATAATAATTATATTATTACTAATATGCCCAATACTTTAAAACACAAGAGACTTAACAAAACCAAATGACAACCAAAACTGAAACTAACAAAAATCATAGCAGCAAAGCAAAACAATTCAAATCAGTGCACTAATAAATAGATTTTTAAAAAGACAGTTGATTCTGACCAATTGAACAATTAACAGAGCATATTCCTTAAAGGGATTCCAAACATTCAAGACATGTTGTGTTCATATTAAAGAGAATGATTAAAATTTTCGCCTAATTTTTTTGATTAAAATATAAAAATAAAAGCATATCAAGAAAAACTAATTTTTTATTTTAGTAGAAGCTTGCCTTTTCAACTTTTTTACAGTACTGCCAATGCAGTACTGTAAAAAAGTTGACAGTACTTACAATCTCAAAATTACTTACAGTGGGTCAAAAAAGATTTCATTTACCCAATTTACTTGCTAAATGGCATAGATTGTAATAGCTTTTACATCTTTTTACTGCCTTACACAACCATTAGTGAATAAATGTAATTTGGACAGATTGAGAAATTTTGTTTTTAGTATGTGTAAGATTAGTTTAAATATTATACAAACATCAGTTATATTGTGTGTAATGTCTATCCTAAGAAAGTGTTCTTTACCAGGGCAATCATAACACTGTGTAAGCATGTGTTCTTAATTTTTTACTGAGCAAACAGTTTTTAAAAGTAGATCCTTATATGCTTCATCAATAAATAACAAATAGAATGCGTAACACCTGCACCTGGCAAAATGCACCAATTTGATCTAAATAAAGCAAAGTAGCTTATTTTTATTTCAGGATTTTTTTTTTGATAATACATGATTTTTTTTTAAATAAAGAATCAGCTAACAATCCTTTTTGTACGTCTAGTACAAAGTACGTCTAGCCATCTTTGCCTCGATTCTATAACTTTAAGTTATTTTTTACTTCTACTATCGAGCATCTTGGTGGTGCCAGTGTGAGAAGTTGAACAATAATTCTATTGTCAAATTAGAGAATTTTCTCTTTTATCTTGCTTCTAATTTCATCAAAGTTTTTAACTTTCTTTTTTGTCCTATATTTTTCATTTTCTATTTTGGATAGTACATGTTTTAATGGTTTTGAATAATTTTTAAGATGAAATGGATTCAAATTTTAAAAAACAATGTTGATCTCTTGTCTTTTTACTTTGAATTTTGATTTTACTTCTAGCAATCTCAAGTTTTTTCCCAGGAGCTTTATTCAAGCTACTTCATGACTTGTAATTGAATACAAAATAGTTTATAAAAAATAATTGAATTTCACAAAGCTGCTCCACACCTATGTCTAAAACTAAATTTTGTTATGTTTAAGTAAAAAAATAAATTATGTATAATAATTAAATATTTAAATTTTACAGCTACTGACTAGTAATTTTCATTGTATGTCCATTGGATGGATCACAACAAGCTTTCTACCATATAGGATACATTTTCAAATATTTTTACTAGATCTTTCACATAATATTTTTAAGTTATATAATTCAATATAAAGATTTGATTTTTTCTTTATTGCATAAAATTTCTATAACATCTTGTTGGTCTTTGCATGCCTCAGATGCCATTAAGCAAGTAGAAAACATCTTAATAAGATAATTCACTTGGTACGAACCATGTTAAGCCAACTTTTCCTACTTGTTTTGTACTATTTTTACATCAAAAAAATAAAGTTTTTAATGTAGAAATAGTTCAAACCTTTTTAGATTCCTTATTTATCATGTTTTGCACTAGTAGACATTGTTAGTTTTTATTTGTATATACCAAATTGTTAATTTTTTATAATTCTAATACAATTTTACCAATAAATATGGTTCTTTAACTGAACTATTTACGAACTATATAATTGCCAAAATTTGATAAATAAATACTAATAAGTATCACACTTGGTCAGTTTTTATATAAAAACAAAGCAGGATGTGTTATTTAGTAGTTAAAATTATTGATTTTCATATCAAATTATGCAAGACTTTCTTTAATACAACCTAATTGTTTTTTTCTTTTAAAGCATCTATAAACCAAATTTAATACTTGATTAGAATTATATTAGCAAATTTTTTTTTTGTACTTTAGCAAAACCAAAGCAAAGCAATAAAATAAATTCATTTAATCTAAAGTATCATTTTTTATTATAAAATCTGTTTTGAAAGTAAAACAATTTTTTTCTAAATCAAATTAAAATTGACCTTCATGGTCTTTTAAAAGTGTTTTAATTTTAACTGTTAATGGTCTAAAAGTTTTTTTATAATAATTGGTTAGTCAAATGATTCAAAATGACAGGGATGGTTCCTTCCTTGGCTTTAAGAATTGAAGAATTTTTGAGAATAGTGCAGCCTGTTTTGACTAATGTCGTTTTTATTGTACTCTGCAGAATTTAATAACAAACAGCTAGTAGATAACGGTTATGACTTAATGATATCATATATGGTTTGTTAAAGGGATACCATTTAATTCTACATTCATTATTACCAAAATATATATCTAGGCAATTGTTTGCTTCTTCTTTAAATTTATTTGGGTAAATATCATGTACACATTTTATTATATATATTTTTTTACATCTTCGCTTCTGACAAGGCTGCAAGCAACCACTATAAGAGTTGGAAGAGAAAAAATGAAGTTTGTAATGCAAAATAATGATTGACAGACGACTTAAAAGATTGCAAATTATATGAATCAGGAAAGCAAGATAAAGGAAGGCAATTACTAAGAACTAATGTTTGAGGAAAAAAACTAGACGAATAAGAGTTTTTGGAGCACTTAGGATCAGTCACAGAAAAAGGAATAGACTTAATTGAATGACGAGTAACATGAGAATGAATTTTAGTAGATAGCACAACATAAGCTAGCTCTTTAGAGCAGTACCCATTATAGTATTTGTAGAATAGAGAAAGAGAAGCAATGTTACGGCGATGGATAATGGTTGGAGATTAGCTGCAAGAGCAGGTCGAACTATGTTTACAATGCGTTTTTGCACCTTGTCTAAAAGAGAAAGGGCATCGTTGGAAGATCCGCCCCAGATATGGCAACAGTATTCCATACAAGGACAGATTTAAGATTTATAGAGGTTTAGAATAGAATCCGTGTAAGAAAATGTTGAGCTTGATAAAGAGATGCTAGCTTGGCAGATGTTAATTTTGCAATGGATTTGATATATGGTTTCCGAGAAAGATCAGAAGTAAGAGTTAATCCCAGAAGATGAAGGGTAGATGACTCATCAAACGCATTACCGTTCATAAATATAGGAAGATCTAAATTATTGCGATTATATAAACGATTAGCTTAAAAAAAATTAAGTTTTATCTGAATTGAAGTTTACTAGCCGCTGTGTGCCCCATGCTGTGGTCCGGACAGCATACCTGTTGTATTCTTGCTTCTGCAAGAATACAACAGGTATGTTGTCCGGACCACAAGCTGTAGAAGAGTTTATGCAGGAAATCACTTTTGATATAGAAGCTGGAGTGAGACGAATGTCAAGCATTTGATCAACCTGTTTGACGGCTATATCAGGTAGTATGCAACTAGTAGAGTCAAGAGATGGTATTGATGAAAAGTTCTTAGCAAACAATTCATCTTTGTCACTAGGTGAGGTGACATAGTCTGAACCATACAAGAGAGGTTGGAATAACAGATTTGCCTTTACTATTGATACTGTTAAAGATTCTCCAGAAGTTACGAGAACCTAATTTTTGAGATAAAAAACAAGATTTCATGACCTGAGAATTGCAGGTTTTGGCATTAGACAAAACCTTTTCACATCGGTGTTTAACAATAGTAAACAGACATCTGTTTTCTCGAGAATTGTTTTAATGGATTTTGGTAGATATGGAAGTGATGGTTTCGATTGGAAATTGCAGCAGCACAATGTAAAGAAAACCATGGAGATGAGCGAGGTTTGATTTGGGATCATTGAGAAAGAATTACAGATTCTATGCCAGCCTGAATCTATGAAGTTATGTAAAAAGCACATTTGTCAGTAGGAAGATGAAAGATTTCCACCCAAGGGCCATCAAAAAATCACTGATAGAGACCCAGCTAGCTTTAAGATAGTTGTAAGAGTTACAATGATAGGGGGACTCTGATGATGAAAAAGAATGAGATAATAGTTTTAGAGAGATTAAACCGTGATCAGAAGCACCTAAGGGTAAATGTGGAGAAACTGAGCACTGACTAGGATCAGAAACAAGACATAAGTTCAGTAGAGAAGGTAAATGATTCGGGTTGTCTGGAAAACGAGTTGGAAAATTGACTGTTTAAGTTAGAGATTGAGGAAGACAAAAGTTATGGCCTATAAAACCTGCAGTCAATGACACAAGAGTGAAGCCATTCAGTGTGATGAGCATTAAAGTCACCAACCACAACCATATTAGCTGATGGATAAAGAGAGAGGGCTTGGTCAATTTGATCAGAAATATCATTGAAAAGAGTGCAGTCTTGAAATGAAGGAGAGCGATTTAGAACAAAGAGAAAGGTGACATTTGCAAGAGATAAAACTCAACATAAGAAAAGTTACTTCGAAACCATGAATATTAGTGAATGATAGGTTTAGAGGACTTAGTGACGAAGATGGTTTTTTGTGTTTTATATTTTTTAGTACTTTAGTCATTCTAGATTTTTTAAAGAACTTGACTCAAAGTATAGATAGTACTTAGTACATTATTTAATAGTCCAAGCAATCGCCCCTTTACTGTTATTAAACCTTAAGCTGTAACAAAGGGCTCCAAGTGTGGCTTCAACAATGCACATCAAAACACAAAGTACAAAAAGGGACACCATCTCTGCGCAACCTGGCACTATTACTGAGCTGGCCTCAGAACAATAAAACTGAGTTTTAGAGCTGTACCTTCATTAGGAGATAATAGAATGAGTTTCAATGAGAAGCAGGTTGTACTGGGTTACATGTTGCCAGTAGTAGGATAACCTGACCTGACATGTAATGCTAGGTGCAAC